TATATCGATGGCCTCTCGGATCTTGCGTTTTCTCGTATTTTCACCACATGCAGCCAACCGTTCGGTCAATTTCCAGTCTATTTGGTGCCTCGTTCGTGCAATCTGTTCCGCAATTACGGATCTTTTGGTATCCATGTTCCTGAGGAGTCTTTGATGTTCCTTCGATTAAATATTTACTGATTGCCTCTTTTCCGTAAAGACAATAAGTTGATAAAAGATTGGATTAGCGGAGTGCTTAACAGAAAATTAAAGCAAGCAAGCATAGTTGCTGTAAACTCCATTTTCTTGTACTAGCAACCTAGTTAGCGATTATCACAAAAGAACTAGTTTTCCTTGCATTAAATGATTATCACAGCTGGCTAGATAGGTGTGTATTTACCTGTTCAAGCACCCTGATCCATGTTATAGTGTTTGAGACCAGAACAAGACTTGACTGTACACATCTGTATACCCTTGGGCTTATAAACTCACCTTTTGTTGCTGTCTATGATTAAGAAGCATGTGCTTCCAGGGTTCAATTGATTCGGTCATCCGCAGGATACAATTTATCGCCTTATTTAGGCCAACTTGAAACTCGTCAAGGCTCGGTCGCGTTAACACATTCGGGATAGATAGCACGAGCTGTCCTTTGAATAGAGGCACTCGCTTATCGCTACGAAGGCCGGAGCCTATTGTAGAGGACATGGTCAACAGGGAGCCACCACCACTTGTGACTCCACCAGCGACAGATACGCCAGTAGGCCCTGATGTACTCAAGCTTCCACCACCTGCTCCTCCCATTCCACTACCTGAACCCACTCCCGCAATGCCAACGCCAGGCCCGGTAGCACCGCTAGTTAGGCTTGGGCCTCCACCACCAATTTCTCCACTTGGACCAGAACCACTAGAACCTGAGCCATTAATCTGAGATCCAGCAGAAGGGCCGCCCATTCCGGTTATTGTAGATGAGGTGGTAGAGTCGGTATCACGGCCAAAATGACTGATGCTTGCTTGAAGTTGGCGTTTGAAGTAGTCCAAGGTGAGCCGAATACCTATTTTGTATATGAAGAAAACAAACATTTTGGCAAAACGGTTAAAAGCTTAGCCAAACTATATCCTGTAATATTTTTGCAAAGAAAACGAGAAATAGATAGACTTTACTAAAATGTTAGAACGACTTGTTGGATTGAAAACCATTATGCATTGATGGGCATTCAAATGAATTATGTATACATTTGGCCTCCGAAATCAGCCCGATTTTTACAAATCAGGTAAATATCAGTTGTTATGACTATACATATATATACAAATTGTATGTGCCGTTTTCTTGGGGGATGGTGTAGTACCTTAAGTTTATATAAAGCATCTATCTTGGACTAAAATCAAAAGTGATTATTTAAAAGCGTCATTAATTTTGGTCTTGTCGAAGACAGAATAAAATAATTTATTAAACCTTAGCAAGGCACAAGAAAACAGTATTAGTTTAAGCATTGTCAATCATAGACATAAATTAAAATGTCGCAATTCATAAATGAACGTGGCAAAAAAGTCCATAAATAGATAACATTATAATTTTTTATAACTGACTCAGTCATTATTGAATAGCCCTATAGATCCCTTTGCATAATCAAAAAGAATGGCGTTTTAATTAAATAAAATATTTTTATTCAACCGCTTTAGGCAATTTTTTCTTATTTATTTATTTACATTAACCATGTAACCATTACAACTTATTTGAATAAAGTACATGAATAAAATGACGCCCCATTATCTATTTTGGCATAAAACACTTATTTCGAATATGCATAATTTCCCTGTAGAACTATAAGAACTGATATTTAATTTTCTTATGAATAATTGGATTAGTTACTCAATTTTGCATTAAAATTTATTGCAATATGCATCCCCAAAAAGTAATCTTATTCGAATTATGACCATTGCTTCGATTTCACCTTGATTTCTTCTATATTTATTGGGAATTTTGAACCGTGGACTTGGCGATTCAAAGGCAAGTAATGTATTGTTAAGGATATACAAAATGAATGAGTTACATATCAAGTGCTATCTGAAGTAGAAAGCCTTATTGAGATGTATAAAGATGTGAACATCAAGTCTTTATCAAGACTTGCTCTAAATTTATCCTGAGAACAATTCAAAACAAAGACATATATTCCCGGTAGCGGCGAGAAACCTTAAAATGTATGTGTCATTGATAAGTCAGTGCCAAGTTTAGTGTAGCTCTGAAAGCACCTGTACTAAAGAACGATCAAAAATCGTGGATCATCAGTGGGAGTTTCCAGCATTAGATCTGTCATAAGGACTTCTTCGTCATGATTAAGGCACCGGAGTTATCCAACATTCTCTCTTCATTAGACAAAATGACTTTCATCATTTTAATTGTACAAAGAAACAGATGGACTCACATTTTACGAGAGCCTCAGTATTGCGCTGTGTAAAGTGGTTCAGCAGAACGTAATAGGCACAGGGTTGGCAGTCCATACAACGGTGCTTCTTAGCATCTTGAGACAAGCAGGCGTATCCCGTCTCTGCGCAAAGGGCGATGGCCACATCTATGGGTAGGTGTGCTTTGAGGCTGGTGATTATTTCATTTACCGCCAACTCAACCAGGCCACTTTTTCTGTTCGGTAAATATAATATAGTTAAGGTCAATCGACTACGAAAATTCTACAATTATTTGGTTATTGTGATGTGATTGTGCAAATTTTTATAAAAGAATTTAGTGCACTATATCTCAATCTTGCGTCTGTTTATGTATTTTCGTCATGGACACAGCTTTATCAAGCAGGCTATTAATAAGCCTTTACAACTGAGGATAGTGCAGTCAAATTACAACCAGTACTCTTAATAGAGCTACTTCACTATTAGAATAATTTACAAATCCAGTCTTGTGAAAGGATAAAATTTTTTCACACTTTAATTACCCTATGCTTGTACTGGGTTGTTTTATTTCTTAAAATAGCTTCTTCATAATGTGCTATTTCTAATTCTAGTCATAACGGAACAAAGGGGAAAATAGCTCGCCTTTAACCTTAACGAATGTTACTTTTGTTTTCTACTCAAATCTTTATTCTTTCTTTATAAGTAGGTTTTCAAGGCTACCGTAACGTCATATTTGTAAGATGAAATACTAGTAGTTGATTTTTCCCACATTAATATTTTTAGGCCTTATGTTTCCATCGAATTTCACATAGCATATCTTATCAAGTACCTCTTTGCTTCATCGGCGATCCAACCAGGGAAGGTGATATGAAAACTGGCCTGGCCTTCCTTGAAATTCCTATTTCCTCTGTGACTAAAGGGCAGAGTGGCGTAGTGATTAACATGCCTAGATTATACTCTGCAGTACCAGAGATCGAGCCCTTCTGAGGATAAGACCTAGGAGATTTCGAAACTGCAATTGGTAATAAGACCTATTTGGAAACAAGGCTACGCGAAATTCAAAGGAAACTGTAAGGTCTACTTATATCATTGTGGGAAAAGTCAACTACTAGTCCGGTATCTTAAATGAAATAGGATCGCCTAGTGTTAAGATTTGACTTTTACAAGAATGACACCCAGCTCTGACGATGTCCATCATATGATGGT